CTTCTCCTCCGTTCTCCTCTCGGGATCTTGGGCACGCACGCACACGCGCCCGGCGTGAGTTTTAAGCCACCGGGTCCGGGACTCGAACCGCAGTTGACTACGTGGGAGTCCAGCGACATAGCCATTACGCTAACTGCTGGTTCCCGGGCCTGGTGTGTTTTGCAAACCACTGGGTCTGGGACTCGAACTGTTCCATCAGCCGTGTGGGATACAGCTACATTCACCTCCACGCCAGGGGCTGGCCGCACTCCATGTGCTTCTAACCTGACATCGGCCAACACTTTGGTGAAAGATGACAAAAGGGAACTACTAGGAAACTGAAAGAGAGCCATGAAGAACACCGACTTTTTGATGGTTGCTGTCCAGAGATTTTTGCTATTGGGTGCGCGTGCTCACTGGAGAGACAGAGAGAGAGACAGCCTCTGTTTCTTTCTTTTTTCTTTTCTTCCTTTTTTTTATTTTTGGAGAGGTTTTTGCTATAGGGTACGTGCGCTCACCAGAAAGACAGAGAGACAGAGAGACGGAAAGCGAGAAATCACCCCCCCGGGGGGGATGGGCACACCGCAATCCCTTCTCCTCCATTCTCCTCTCGGGATCTTGGGCACGCACACACATGTGCCCAGTTTGAGTTTTAAGACACCGAGTCCGGGACTCGAACCATGGTTGACTACGTGGGAGTCCAGTGACGTAGCCATTACGCTAACTGCTGGTCCCCTTCGCTTGAGTTTTAAGCTGCCGGACCTGGGACCCGAACCGCAGTCAACTATGTAGGAGCCCAGTGCCGTAACCATTACGCCATCTGCTAGTCCCAAGAGTACATCTCTTATGATTAGATTCTCTGTCAAATCTGATGCTTGGCTCTCTGTTCCTGGGTACTGCCCCTAGACTGTGCTGTGCTGCTGGCTGTCCCAGGAGTGAGTGACAAGCTTCCATGAGAACCTCCCCATGAAGCTTACATCACTGCTTCCTAATGGGGTCCTGACTCAGGTCAGTGGAGGTGAGGGGCCCGAGCTCCAAGTCTCCTACCACCTGGACCACGCTGCCTCCCCACCCCTGACACAGTGGCAGGTCACCGCAGAGGCACGCCAGCGCCCAGGAACACGAGGGGGGTCGGCAAGGACACCTCAACTTGGCGCTGACTGTGGTACCCTTGTGTACGAAGTGGCAGAAGCATCGTTGGCTTCCTGGGCTGCTGACACTTGAGCCAAGACGGGGTGCTGGCCCCCTCTAGATGCCCTCTCTGTCTCTTTTTATTGATTTATTTTTAGTTTTGTTATCGGGCGTGTGCACTTGCTGGAGAGAGACAGAGAGAAAGTGAGAGATCACCCCCTGAGGGGGTGGCAACGCTGCTATCCCTTCTCTACTACCCTCCGGGGATTTGGGGCGTAGGTGCATGCCTTAGGGAACATGCACTCTCTGGACAGAAAGAGACAGAGACAGCAAGAGGGAAAGTGAGAAATCAGCCCACAGGGGGATGGCCACGCTGCAGTCCTTTCTCCTCCTGGGATCTTGGGCATGAATGCAGGTGTGCCCACCATAATTTTTTTTTTTTGGAGAGGTTTCTGCTATAGGGCACGTGCGCTCGCCAGACAGACAGAGAGAGACAGAGAGACAGAAAGCGAGAAATCACCCCCCAGGGGGGATGGTCACGCTGCAATCCCTTCTCCTCCATTCTCCTCT